GAATCCTATTTTAGTTAATATTAATGTATCATTTTTCCTGTGTGAGATGCAAATTTGAAATTTTATTGTTCTTTAGAATTTATAAAATATATGATTGCAATTTAATGAACATAAGCCAATGCAGTGAGTCTTGTTTCTCAAAGCTACTAAGAAAAAAGAAATATAATTTGTAAAGTTCTACATTGTTGCAGTTACATGCATATTTCCCTTTTTCATTTATTTTCAAATGAATATGCATCAGAGTTCATCAATGTCCAAACAAAGTGAACTGAATGTTTTAGAATACAATTATATCAATTATATAATTGGCCACAATTTCTATATGTAATTTATAAGAAGAAAATAAATATTGAACTTGATTATGCACTTCTCCAAAGAAGACTTAAAACTAGCCAACAGAAATGGAAAAATCCCCAGCTTTAGGCTCATGCAGGTTGCCTCGTTACTTGTCTTGGCATGTGTTGCACTGCTGGAACAAAGCAGCCAATTGCTGGTGGGCAGCGTGGGCCTGGTTAATGCCAAATTTGTGTAAACTTTACTAGTATGTCAGTATACTAGTTGCTTATTCTTTCTATTATTATTGTTACTGCTACTATTATTATTTTTATTATTTAAAGATAGGTGGAGAAGCTGGGGAATTCTGACTTCCAAGCACAGGAGTGGTGAGGGTGGGCTACAGATTGCCTGGGTAACAGGTCAGGTACTATATTGGAATGGGTGCAGCTGAGGGCAGGTAGGACAGATATGGAAATGATTTCTGGGGTCTTCCAAAGACCAGACCACTGGACTTGCAGAGTAGATGAGGAAGCTGAGATGGAGTGATTTAGATGGGGAAACATGAGAATATGTCTGGTTCAGGCCGAGACACTTGACTACATGGAGACCTAGGGTTGGCTAATAGCATCAATTACTGTCTGCTGGAGCTCACGAAAGCTCTTTCTGGGAGACATACCTGGCTGAGGTAGGCCACAGTAACTGTTGTGAGTGACAGAGCAAGGGGTGGGCTACATTACACTGGGACACAGCACCCAATGTGAGAGAACTGGATCTGGGGATAGATTGTGTAGGGGGCTGTTGGCTTGTCTCTGTGGGATTTGCCCAAAGAGTTGGGGGTAGTGACATGCTAAGCAAGGCTAGACAACAGAACTCACCTGGCAGGAATTCACCTGACGCTCTCAGTAACCAGGGCTGGGAGAATACCTTGGACAACGTTGCAACGCGCATGCAAGGGCTGGACTGCTTGTAGATCATGTTAAGCATTGTGCCACTGTTCTCTTTGTCACATGTGAAATCTGGGGTTTGGAGCAGGCCTGATAGGGGAAATTGGAGAACTCCCCCACTAGGCCACAGCTTCTTTTGATGTCATGTATACTGGTGGGTCTTTGTCACAGACTGACTTAGTCCACCTCCTGTCCTAGCAGGAACAGTGACCTTGCCTATCTGGCCCATGCCTGTTCTGGTTCTTACTGTTGGATGAAACAGCCAGCCACACAGACATAGATAGCTCTTGCATGGTTCAGTGGGTGCCAAGACAAGTTCAGCCCATCCTACACACAAGCAGCAGTAGGCTCTTAACAAACACCAGTAGGTGCTGGAGTCTAGCCCAGTCTGGCACACCGAGACTCAGTCCACACTCATGTCTGGGGACACTGCAGTCTTGTCCACCACCACCCAGCTGGGTTGTCCCCTTAGCTCTCCAACCATGCCTATTCACATCCATAGATCTTGTATGTGTCAGTGGTTTCTCTGAGCCACCTCAGCATAGCCCATTCCCTGTTTCTTAGCCTTTGCCTTTGGATACTGCACCCTGAACTGTCCTGGCCTAACCCTGCCCAGTCTGCTCCCATCCCTGTCTCATGTAAAACGATAGGTGTGATATTTTTTCCAGGCATGACCCACACTGCAACCTGGCTCCTACACATGCCAGTCTGCTAAGGTTTGGCTCAGTTCTTCCAGGTCCACCTTGCGTCGTAACCAGTATACATAGTTGCTGACAGGTATAACTACCTTGCCTGGCCTGACCAACACTAAGGCTTGATTCATATGCTCACCAATGGGAGTTACATCCAATCAGGGAGCTACATCCTATCAGGGGAGTTCCTAAGTTTCCCCACCAGGCCAATTCCAGACTCAGATCTCACATGTATTGGTAGCTAAGCTCTTACCCAACATACCCCACTCTGTCCCAGCTTTGGTATTAGCTCGGCCCACAAATACTCCACAGAATCTGCCCCCAGAAATGGTTGTCTCACATGCAGGCTAGTGTCATGTCCTAGCCTAACATTACCTATCCCTTGTTTGATCCTCACTGGCAGCTACTGTGATGTAGCCCTGCCAGGTAGGCCCCAGCCCTAGTTTCAGTATGTGCTGGTGAGTGGTGGTTGACAGTGATCCACGCTAAATAGCCCAGCTCAGGTCTCCCAAGTGGGTGGGTGCATTGATTTAACTCATAAAGGTCCTCCCACTTCCTTCCTCCATACTGCTTTTTTCTCAGCCCCTCACTTCACTTCAACTACAATGGCCTTATTGATAGTAAGTACCCCAGAAATCATCCCTCAATTGCAACACACTCTCTCAGTTGTCCTCCCTCTCTCACATCCCGTTATCCTGATCTATCCATAGTCCATGTTCCTGGGAGCGCATGGATTCCCCAGCCCCACCTTCCAAAGCCCAGTCTTCTGATGGGGTGGTGTGCTGGCCTGGAGCTCTGCCTTCTCACTGGGGTCCCGTGCTCCTGGCTTATGTGCTGGCTTGGGGCTTTATCCCTCCACACACCCAAGATCGAGGCACTCATGAGTGGTCCACCAGTACTCCAGGCAAGTATGCTAACCTACGGTTCTCCCCTTCCCTCGCTGCACCCCGCCTGGGACTAAGCATGTGGAGAAATCCCTGGTTCACTTCACCTGCCTGGATGTGAGCCCCCAGGTACTCACATGCCCCCACAGGTCTCGTCCCCCAGGTCCCCTGCAAGCCTGTCTGGCCAGGTGCTGCCTCTGCAAAGCACAAAGGCCTCCTGGAGAGATTTCTTGGGGAACTCCACACATAGACTTCTAGTCTCAGACCCTGGCCACAAGAAAACCCACAGCATGTATGGTCTGAACTTGGAGTACATGTATTGGAACTGGTCTTCTCCATCGCTGATGCCTGTGTAATAGACAGCATGCCCAGACGCGCACTGGGACATAATGGTCACCTTATCTATGACAGTAGGAATATCCATTGCCAATTCAGAGGATGCAGAGCAGAACAGGTTGGACAACTCTCCTGGCCAAGCTTTGGCAGCAAGTGCCTGGGTGTATGGATATGTGTGGACTTTGTCAAGGAATGGACCTTGAGAAGATTTTCTTAATCCTGAAATAATGAAACTCTTGGGACTATGAAGACCATTCAGATAACACCCTCAGAACACTCTTCCTCGTATTGGAGGTCTCTAGGGCATCATCAATGAACATTTCCCGTTTGTCCCACCCACCTTTTCCCATACCTGGCCCTCTTCCCTCTCTGTGGTCTCAGGGGTGTTAATTCTGAGGATGTTAAATATCTTCTGTTGTAAAAATTAACATACTATGTTTTTATTACCTGTTTACATTTATGCCTTTTTGACAAGACGGTGAATTCCCTTCCATAAGAGAATACACATTAAGTTTTTATTTGTTTTTTCTCTTTTAGCAGTAAGTATGCTATTTTAATATGTAGTGGTATAGACTCAAGTTTGAGAGTAGTAGCTATTTAAAATAAATTATTCCATATTAATTAAAGAAATGTAATATAAAATATTGAAGGCATTTTAACAGTGTTTTCTTTAATAAGACGTGAAAATTGGGGGGGGGGGGTTTAAAAATCTGAAATTGTACATTTAGCATAGTGGTTAAGATAATAAGTCCCATGTCAGAGTAACTGAGTAGGAATCCCAGCTCTGATTCCTAATTCTAGTTTCCTGCTAATGACGACACTTTAAGACATCAGTGGTTGATCCTTGGCCAGTAAGCTACTGGCATTTGAATCAGTAAACCAAAGTTCTATTGTCTTTCTCTGTTGCAAGTGAATGTATTTTTCTTAAAAGACTTAGGTAATTCTGTTTTTCAGCTTTTTCTTCTGTCATTGTTGTACACAAATTAGATGTTTTATGGAATTATTTTTTAGCTAGTATTTGATTATTTCATTTAGCAGTTACACACAATATCCTGCATTTTTTTACTATTTTTTTTTTATCAATTACATTGCACTATGTGACACAGTTCCATAGGTACTGGGATTCCCCCCACCCCTACTCAAGCCCTCCACCCATGGTGGATTCTTCCAACTTTCTGCATTGCCACAGTTCAAGTTCAGTTGAGATTCTTTCATTGCAAGCATATACCAAGCATAGAGACCAGTAACTTATTGTCCAGATAAGTCCAATGTCTTCTTGGGGAAACCATCTCTGGTCTGAAGGTAAAGCCGGCAGAGTATTACCCCGATCAAACAGAAGTCCCAACATAACATCTAAAACAAATTATAACGTTATGGAATTAGTGAACATAGTATTGAGTAACCAATATGTTAAAAAAATGCAAGTTGTTAATCACATCCTATGACTTCATCATTGACATTTCGCTTTTAGTTCATGTACAATCAGGTTCTATACACCCCAAAATGGCTATAGATTCTTAAATTAAGGCAAACATGTGGTATCTAACCTTTTGGGATTGTCTCATTTCCCTTAGCATTATGGTTTCCAGTTGAGCCCATTTGGCCATAAAGAACTGCATCTTGTTTTTTTTAATAGCTGAGTAGTATTCCATGGAGTAGATGAACCATAGCTTTCTTATCCAGCATTTTTTATTTAATATTACTTAACATTATAACTAGATGTTCATATTAAGTATGAAAATAATTTTAAAATAATATTGTTAAAACTGTCATAGTGAATACCAGGTTGGGTTACATTTATCTTAAATTGATATATGTTTGCATTAATTGAGATATTTATACAAGTTATTTTATCTATTTAATTTCAGTTGTGTTACTTGATACAACAACTATTTTGGGAGAGCTGGGGTGGAAGACATATCCATTAAATGGGGTAAGTTGAATACCTTGTTGCCCTACTTAGTGACATTTGTTTAGAAAATTTTATAACAGTTAAGAGCGAATTTTTGCCTTCATTTGAAATGGATTTTGGTATACAACTTAAACCCTATAGACAAAATTAAATTTACTTAGAATTGGTAATCATTGAAAATTTTATTTAAATGCCCAGTAGTATTTTTTAATAATGTGTGCTGTTGTAACTTTAGATTACCTCACTTATATTTTCTTTAGCAAAAAAGTTTCTATATGTAATGCCAAGACAGTTTATCTGTGTATGTTAAATGTAGCAGCATCAGTGAATATTGTGTATAAACTTTAGAATATCATAAATGATTCACACAAATATTCACAATTTTATTTTTGGTATAAAATGCTAAATCTAGTAAGTTGATATGGCATTTTGGATTTGTCAAAATGGTATATTATGGTTAGGCATCTGTAACCTAGAGATATTTGCTTTTAAAGGATTATAAGTGTGCAGTTCACAATTTTCTATGTATAGATATTTAACCGTGATTGTGCTTGAATGTTACATGGTTTTTATTTGTATTTTGTATTATTTTCAACATTGTAGCATTATTTCTACTTTCATATGACACTGAATAAAAAAGTTTGTGAAGCTATTTTTTAGATTTTTTTCTATCCTAAAAAAGTCAGGTGTTTTCAGATTTAATGCGTTACCTTTTTATTTTCTTTAAATCTGCATTTTTCTCATATGACATTCTTAGTTAATATTTGTAAATTAATTTTTGTTATATATACCACAGATTTAAGTCCCCAAAAGTTGTCTTAAGTAATTATTTATTTTTTAGAACCATTGGATACTGTTTGAATTTGACATTTTTATATTTATGTCAGAGGTTATTCATTAGACATATATTCCAGTTAAAAAACTTGTGAATAGTTAAATCATCCTCTTTGCTTCATAACCTGCTTATTTCTGCAGTATTTAAATAATTTTTCTAATTTGAGTTTTTTTCTCAAATTTTCTTTTAATTCATTTTATTTTGTTAGAATTTTAACCAAATCATCAGTTTTGAGAATAACATTTTAAAGTAAGTTTGTGCTTTTATCTTTGTTATTCTATATCCATCGAAATAAATAGACATCCGTATTAATTCTATTAAGTGGGTGAAGCTTATTACACTTTACTTCTAAGAAGTAAAACTTTTAAAAATTTCTCTTTCAGGTTATAAAATGTATAAAATGAGTTATACAGAATACAGCAGACAGAATAACTTGTAAGCATTGGTGAATATATAATTTAGAACGCCTTTATTTTCATTTTTTTGAAAAAAATAGTCGTAATTTTTAGACTTATTATCAGTTGTCTCACATAGACATAGGTGAAGAGTCATGGAAGGAAGGGAAAATGTTTTGTCCCGCTTTACTGATTTTGTTCAGTTAGATCACAGTGAATTTTAGTCAGCTGGAGACAAGCAGATAGAGACACAGAGGCACAAGTGTACTGACTGCTCTCTGCCTGTGATGATTTTTGTAATGGATGTCATGAACCAGAGATTTTTTTTTCCTAAATTTTTTCATTTGTTACTCAGAAAAAATAATAATAACTGAAAAGTGTTGCTTATCTCAGTTTTCTGTTTTCCAGACTACTTTAAATATTAGAATTATATTTTTAAAATGCTATTTTAATGTGTGTTTTACTTCTGTTTCCTAATTGTAGAGTCCTAAAGGTGCCAATAGTTATAAGCCAAATTAGTCATAATTGTTTCATTCAAACTAAGATATGTATAACTCTGAAGAATATTCTTTTTCCATATATCTCTTTCTGTTTTCTAATGCCAAAACAGAATACCTAAGACTGGGTAATTTATTTCTAAAATAAATGTATTGCTTACTGATATGGGGGTCAGAATGTCCAAAATCAAGATATTAGTGTCTGGGTGTGTAAAACAGAAGGATAGGGCAGCATAAGTGACATGTAAGAGAAGGTTGAATTTGCTCTTGAAAAGTGCCTATTCCTTCAGTAGCTACCTGTTCCCTTCGTAGCAACAGTTACTTCTTTTTGAGGTTATAGCTTCCATGATGTCTTAACATCCTATTAGATATTATCTCCCACCACTGTTGCATTGGGAATTACATTTCTAATGTATGGATGTAGAATATTGTATTCATAATATATTTCTGTGACACTGCTAACAGAGGAGCATTGAAAACTTGATGGAAAGCCAGGTACTTAAATTCAGTATTTGCCTAGCAGACTCAGACTTATTCTCCCTAGTTGAAAATTATAATGTTGGACTAAGTTGTACATTTTGGAAACCAGACAAAAGTTGGTAAGAGGAAGCAAAGAAAGAATGAAGGAAACAGAATATAGTAGAAAATAGAATAAAATAAGGCAGAAAGGAAAAGTTCATTAAAATTTGTGGAACATTTATCACAAATGACTTTTTCTATTTTATTGATTTCATTCCCGTAAGTCAAGTATAGTTTATCTTTATTGATGGATATGGATAAGATTCAGTTACAGTGCATAACTTTTACAGATCACAGAGTGTGGAACATAAGACAGCAAAAGTTCTAGGCCAAACATACCCTTATTTGGACACTTACAAAAGATCATTTCATAGATATTTACTTTTATTTCTTGAAAAATTTTACTATTTAAACATATAAACTGATGACTAACATATGTAGACTACGTAGGGAAAAAGCAGTACATGGATTCAGACATTAAAACTTAAATTGAATACCTATAGTTGGCATGGACTTTATTTTTAGACTTGTTAGCAATGAAAAATGAGCATGTCAATTTTCTGAAACACTTGTAAGTTTTGTTTGTCACTCAGTGTACAGTATGTTTATTTTAGTGTTATCCAGAAGTCAGGTAAAAGAACTTATATTTTACATTTCGTAGTTCCAAGTATCTTGTTACTCTGATAAAGAGGTTTGTTTTAATCCCATACGTCTTTATAAGATAAAACAAAGGCTCTTCACTTTTTTTGAGCAATGTTTTTTGAAAGACTAGTAAAGGGGTGGATTCATTAATAAGAGTGATAAAAGGATGTTGAAAGTGATAAGTGATTAATCAGTTCATTTTAATAAACTGAAATTTGTCATCTGATATCTGCAAGAGGAGACAGAAGATCCTTATTTTAAAAGGCAAATAGAACAACTTGAGCAAAGACTCAGATTATTGGAGTTATGTATTCATTAAGTCTTAAGAATATTGAGAATCATATGAATGAAGTGTAGGAATTAAGGGGTATTTATGTATAGGGAGTGCTGTGTTTTTGACATATAAAACTTATAATTCAGTTCCTTAGTTTACATAGTGTGTTTAAATAATTAAGAGTAATAATGAAAGCTTTCTGAATGTACTTATACATACATTGATGAAGCTTTTTTGTTTAAGATGATAATATAGATCTTTACAAAGGAAAAACACCATGAAAAGATGAAAGAAATATGTGTGTCCAAATACAGATGCCATAGTGTTACTGATTTATTGAGAATAGAGTGGAATTGAAAAATCATGTTTGTATAGAAGATGAAGCTTGGTGTCAGAAGAGATTGAATGCATTTGGGAATTTGGGAACCCATAGTTGTAATTCTTAACACTGTGCTCTCTCTGCTTAATAACAAAAATTTTGTGTCTACATAATTCAAAACTCTTAACAACTTTATCCTGTAAGGATCCCCTCCATCTTCTATCTGTCAGTGTAAAAACTAAGGCAATAAAATAGTGATGATCTAGCAAAGTAGCTAACAGAGTGCCTTGGTAATCATTGGAAGAATGCAGAGGCAATAAAATGTTTTGTGTGACACTGTGGATGTTGTAAGTGAATTCCGAAGAAGTGGTTCATAAACATTAAGTGTAGAGAGGCTGTGGCTTTTCTGTTTGCTATAAAAAACTTATCTTCGAGTCTTCCTTTTTCAGAACTCATTTTAAATTCTGAAAATCTTAAAGAGATATCTGTTAAGAAAGTATACATATTAATGCTAATAAGATATGAAAAAGGAAAAATGCTGCTTAGATTGTAACTTTGAACAACAAAGAGTGTTAAAAATGTGTATATCCTGGGTTTATTGTCACTCTAAGGAAGCGAAATTATGTTTTTGTGAGATGTTATAATGTTTATTTCTTTCGTATGATTATTGCATTATTTAGTTTATTTAAAACAATACCCAACATTGTAAATTAAAGGGAGTACAACTGTAATAAGAGAGTTTCTAATTAAATTTATTATTTAAAATATTTATACATGTAATTGGGTCCGATTCAGTACAACATAGCACAATATGTGTCATTATTGAGGACATCTTGGCTTAATAATAACTCACTACTAGTAACAGCTACTAATGAGAAAAATAAAAAGTTTTTCAAAATATAAAATATATCAAGAATAAAATTTCATGGCTAAAAGCCCTGTCTTACTTCCTTTGAACCTGAAATATGTGTTATGTACTTATATTATTTAATAACTTTTATGTTTAAAAAGTTTTATGCTATAATTGAAAAGACAGATTGAGTTATCCTGTACTGATTAAAAATATTTACCCCTGAATGAAAACTGAAATTTAAAATGTAACATATCATAATGAAAATTTTATGAGCCATTATTTAATTTATACTTAAAATTTTGTATATTTACTTTCATTGAAATGGCTTGATTTTGAGGTACTTTGTGTACTATGAAATGGGACGTTCATCATATATTGTTAAGTAATACTTTGGGCAAGACAATGGAATGTTTTCAAGTGTTTCCTTTTTCTACACTTTTGCATACAATGAGGTGGTTAAATTTTAAAAGCCCATCTTTAATGTATATGTGGTAGATCAAATCCTTGATTCAGGTGTGCTGAATATAGAAATAGGCATTTTTAATATAAAAACATCAGATTTCTTTTTCAGCAATAGTGTAACCAGAGTTGAAATCAATAAAAAGATGGGATGTTCAGAGAAAACACTCCAAAGTCTTAGTTTAGGTCTGAGAAGTGAGGTGGAGGTCTGGTCTGAATTCCCAAGTC